CGGGGCAGCACGCAACAACCCAGATTCTGCCACCAGCCTTGCACATGCTGTTCCCGCTGCTCACAGCACTGTTCCCACGCCTGGAATCGTTCCTCCTCAGGATTGCAGCCCCAGGGTGAACTCCTGGCACGCCCCACAGGGGTCCCGTTCTCCATCGGGCACACTCCCACAGATGCCTCCTCTGTTTTTTCTTTTTTGAGACAGAGTCTCACTGTGTTGCCCGGGCTGGAGTGCCGTGGCGTCATCCTGGCTCACAGCAACCTCCAACTCCTGGGTTCAAGCCATCCTCCTGCCTCAGCCTCCCGAGTAGCTGGGACTACAGGCATGCGCCACCACGCCCGGCTGATTTTCTATATATATATAGTTGGCCAATTAATTCTTTTTTTGTTGTTGTTTTTTGAGACAGAGTCTCACTTTGTTGCCAGGCTAGAGTGAGGGCCATGGCATCAGCCTAGCTCACAGCAACCTCAGACTCCTGGGCTCAAGCCGATCCTCCTGCTCAGCCTCCCAAGTAGCTGGGACTACAGGCATGCGCCACCATGCCGGCTAATTTTTTCTATATATATTAGTTGGCCAATTAATTTCTTCTATTTATAGTAGAGACGGGTCTCGCTCTTGCTCAGGTTGAACTCCTGAGCTCAAACAATCACCCCCACCGTCGGCCTCCCAGAGTGGCTGGGCAGAGATCTTTCTAATAATACTGGACTCTGGGTGTTAGGTGGCTCTCGGGGTCCCCTACCTTCCCTGCCCCAACCCCTGCTCCCGGACCGCAGGCTCTCTGCTGAATGCCTTTGCTTTAGCAGAAACAGCCTGCTCTATTCTGGTCAAGCATTCCCAGAACGGCCCGCTAAGTGCCAGCGTTGTTTAGTGACGCAGACACAGTGGCACCCTCCCCCGGAACACCTGGAGAGGTGTGGCTGCCTCCTCACGTGACCCGGCGGGCGGGACCGACACCCGGAAGCGGGTGGGCGGTGCTCGCCAACACCCGCAGCGGCCTCCTCTGCCAGCACCCAAGATGGCGGCGGCCCGGGGGCGCGGCGCGGATTGTGACGTAGGCGTGCTCCGCGCGCATGCGCTCTCGGCGGCGAATCGCGCGGTTTCCGGTTCGCTGCCTCTTTCTCTTCAACGAGGCGAGGGAGCTGGTCGTGGCCGCGGCCGTGCGGTCGGCGCGGCGGCGGGCGGGGGGTGCAGGGGCTGCAGGGGTCTGGGCGCGGCGGGGGGCGAGCTGCGTGTGGGGTAGTCTCGGCGGGCGGCGGCGCGGGGCACGTGAGGCCGAGGCTCCGAGCCAGACCCGGGCCAGGAGGTGAACGCGGCCTTGGAAGGGGCTGCCCTCTCCGCCCGGCCCCAGCGACCTCACGGGGCTTCGGGCGGGATGGGTCCCCCTGGGCCGATCGCGAGTTACGGAGGGAGGGATGTGAAGCATGCAGCGTTAGCTTTGGCCTAGTCGCTGCGCCGAGGTGTTCAGGAGTGTCAAGTTTCTCGAACTGGGTTTTGGTGCCTGCCTGTGTTTTCTGTGCCTGTCTTCTAGAGCTCTTCTTGGTTTGTTTTTAAGTGAGCGTTTATGTAAACAGGTACGCGGCACGTAGTTGCTAGATAACAGAGTGGTAGGCATTATTGTTTGCGGGTTGGAGCACATGCACGAAGCGGGGTCTGGAGAGTTTGGCATAACTGAGAAGGGAGCTAAGGGTGTTGGTTGTCCTAGCTGGGAGTTAGGAGAGGGGCTTTGAGAGCAAAGAGAATGTGTTTGTGTGTTGGCGGGCCGGTGGCTATTGAGCCAGGATTGCCATCCAGGCTGGCAGGAAGGGCAGTCTGTGTAGTAGTAGACCAGGAGGTTGCTAGGGCAGGGGAGGATGGCACCGTCCTCAGGGAAGATGTACCTGTCAGATGGTGCCCCGAAGTCGTTTAACATTCCAGTAGCAAACATAAGTGAGTCTCTCCTCTGCTGAGCCTGAGGGACATAATCAGAGTCCTTGTTTCTCCGTGAACCACGTGTGCAGGCCAGTACAGGATGTCTGCCTACTGGGAGCCCCCTGGGCCCAGGGGAGCCTTTGTCCTTTGGAGGATGGTGCTGGGTTTGGACAGACCTTAGCTGTGTCCATCTTTCAAGGAAGATTGTTCTCGACCTCAGTTTGCCTTTTGAGACATTGGGGTGGTGCGGGAGCACCCTGCAGGGGGGCGTGGTCAGAGCCAGTAACATGTTTGGCAGAGCCGCAGTGACTGAGCTGCCCCCTTCTCCCCCAGGCATCCCACCTGACCAGCAGCGTCTGATATTTGCGGGCAAACAGCTGGAGGATGGCCGCACTCTTTCGGATTACAACATCCAGAAAGGTACCAGGGGCGGGGTGGCCGGGCAGAGCTCTGTGAGCTCCAGGTCCCAGGCTGGAGCGCTGATGGCCTCCGTGGGGTGGTGGGCAAGGCTCCCATGGTGCAGAGGAGTCCTGCTTTATAACTGCTTTTTGTGGCCGGGCAAGGTGGCTCACGCCTGTAATCCCAGCACTCTGGGAGGCCGAGGCGGGTGGATTGTTTGTTTGAGCTCAGCAGTTGGAGACCAGCCTGAGCAAGAGCGAGACCCCGTCTCTACTATAAATAGAAAGAAATTAATTGGCCAACTAATATATATGGAAACAATTTCTATATATAGAAAATGGTGGCGCATGCCTGTAATCCCAGCTACTCGGGAGGCTGAGGCAGGAGGATCGCTTGAGCCCAGGAGTTTGAGGTTGCTGTGAGCCAGGATGACCCCAGGGCACTCTAGCCTGGGCAACAAAGTGAGACTCTGTCTCAATAAATAAGTAAAATAACTGCTTTTTGTTCCTGGGAGGCATTTGATCTTCACCTGTGTTTCCATATACATTAGCTTCTTGTGTTCACTTATTTTTCTTCTAATGACTTGTATTTTGTTTAAAAATGTGATGATGAAAATTTTTATAGTAAATTCCTTTGCTATAAAGGAAATCATTGTCACTGGTCAGAGTAACAAGACTTCCGTATCTTACCTGCGTCACCTAGAAATTGCTTTGTGTGCTGGGAAACCCAGGCGGGACCACAATTGGAATACATTGGGCTTGCCTCCCCCGGGGCTTGGCTAAAGCTGAGATATGGAGGGTCTGGTCTGTACAGCAGGCCTGGCTGGGCCAGTGAATCTGCAGGTAGCATATTCGGGGGACGCTGATGTGGTGTCCCCGTGAGCACGTGAGAAGCACGTCTGGGGGTCCCTGCCTTGTCGCGGAGGAGCTGGACTCAGTGCTGTCCCTCCGGCTCTTGCCCGCAGAGTCCACCCTGCACCTGGTGCTCCGTCTGCGAGGCGGCATCATCGAGCCTTCCCTCCGCCAGCTCGCCCAGAAGTACAACTGCGACAAGATGATCTGCCGCAAGTATGTGTGCCCGGACGCTGGGGGCGGGGCGGGGGAGCCTGGCCGGGTCGGGTGTGCCCTCACCGCGCCGCCCCTGCCGTCCCCTTGCAGGTGTTATGCTCGCCTGCACCCCCGTGCTGTCAACTGCCGCAAGAAGAAGTGCGGCCACACCAACAACCTGCGCCCCAAGAAGAAGGTCAAATGAGGCCCCTCCACGGGCGGCTCCTCCTTCCCCACAGGGCAGCCTCCTGCCCTGGCCCTGCGGCCCTAATAAAGTCTCCCTTTAGTTGGCTGAAGCAGTAACTGGTCTCCGCGTGGCTGGTTTGTCCAGGGAGGTGGCGGAGGAGCGGGCGTCTTCCTTAGGAACTCTACCCAGCTTCGTATTGTGTCCCCCACGATGGGGCCTTCTGTCCCGGATTGCGCGGAACAGGCCAGTGGGTCCTGCCCCGTACATCAGCGAGCCTTGCCGTGACCACACTGGGAGCTAGTTTCAGTCTGAAGTCTACTAGTGGTTCCCCTGGGCCTGGACTGTGTCATCTTTCATAGGGAATAAAGACCCCAGGCCTGGGACTGAGGGTCAGCCATGTCATTGGCAGGGATCTAGTCAGGTACTTCAAGGTGTGCCTCTGGCCCTGGCATTCAGGTGTGGGTGGTGGAAAGTTGCAGACACCCACCTGGTGTGAAACACTGGCTCTCAGTTTTGTCTGAACTTGAGGAGCCCCCAAGGACCAATGATAACCAGTCTCAGAGGGGCACTCCTTGGTGTATCTAAAACTTGGAGTGTAGCTTCTGTGAGTTGGGTGTGGGTCGTCTTCTTTTTTTTTTTTTTGGAGACAAGAGTCTAGCATTGTTGCCCCGGTTAGAGTGAATGCCATGGCGTCAGCCTCGTTCACAGCGACCTCCAACTCCGGGGCTCAAGCAATCCTCCTGTCTAAACCTCCCGAGTAGCTGGAACTACAGGCATGCGCCACCATGTCCTGTTGACTTTTTCTATATATATATTAGTTGGCCAGTTTCTTTCTATTTATAGTAGAGACGGGGTCTCCCTCTTGCTCAGGCTGGTTTCAAACTCCTGACCTCGAGCAATCCACCCACCTCGGCGTCCCAGAGTGCGAGGATCACAGGCATGAGCCACCACGCCCGGCCAGGTGTGGGTCTTAGAGCACCCTGGACGGGCCTTAGCAAAGCCCACCCGGTTGGGTGAACAGGGCCTGCTGCCTGTTCAGTTTTGATTGGTTCTCAGGGTGAGCCAACTCACGGCCAATGAATGATGCCCGAGAACAGCCTGGTCCCTCTTCTTCCTAGAGTGCCACATAAGGCTGCAGGCCGTCACCCTGTGCCTCAGCTGGTCCCTCTGTCCTGTGCCTGGCCACCACCATCTTCCTGTTCCTCCCTGTGGGCCCCCGGAGGAGGCAGCTTTCCACAGCTCATGGCGGGCCAGGCATCCCCCCAGCAGCACTTAAATGAGGCCCTCCCGGCCCAGGGGCCCGCCTGGACCTTGCACAACACGACCGGTGCAGCTCACTTTTGATGGGCACTTCGCAGGCACCTGCCAGTGAATTATTTTTCATCCCTGCGATTCTCTGGAGAGCCAGCGACCCTTCGTTACACTAAGCTGGCTGGGTTGCGGCGCCTTCGGGCTCTGCGACTCGCCAGAACTGCTCAAATCCTGCCCGCTGTCACAATTACTGTTGCGATGGGCACACACACACAAAGGACAACAGCTTTGCTGTATTCAAAACATTCAAGGAAACAGGGCGGGCGGCGGGCGCGGCACGCAAAGGAAGAGGCGCAGGGCGGGTGGGAGGTGCAGGGCTCGGGCGGCGGCGGGGCCTCTTTGCTCCCCTTTCTGCCCGGGGTCTCCGGGCGGGCGGCCGGCCCCAGGCTGGGGTCCCTAGGCCTCCCGGCCTGCAGGGGGCGCCGGGCGCGGCGGAGGGGCCTGCTCCGGAGCGCGGCCCGGGCTGCGCAGTCATGATCGGCTCGGAGGCCGCGGCCGGGTCGGCGCCCGGTGCCCAGGCGAGCGCCGGAGCCCCGGGGCGCGAGGAGCCGCGGTGGCCCTGGGTGAGCCCGGGCCCGGGCGGGGACGGGCGCGGGGCGGGCGGCGGCGGCCCGGGGGCGCCGGCTTCATGCCCCAGCCGTGCCCCCCGCCCCGCAGAGAGACGCCCCGGTGCGGACGCTGGTGCAGCGCGTCCACCAGCTGCAGGCTGAGCGCGCGCGGGCCTTCCGCCGGCTGGAGGAGTGAGTGCGGGCGCGGGGCGGGGGCCCAGTGGGCGTGCCCGCGGCCTAGCTTCCAGGAGACAGGACCCAAAGCGAGTCCCCACTGCCCGGCGGCCCACCCGCGTGGCTTCCCTCCCCTCCCCCGAGTTCCTCCGGGGGCGTCCTCACTGCCAGTCCTCCACCCTCGGGGGCCTGGGGACACCCCCTGGGGGGCCTTTCCGGAGGGTGGGAAGGGGGCCGGGGCCCGAGAGCCTGGGGGCGCGGCCTCAGTCCCCGCGTACCGCGCAGGGGCCACCGCGAGTACCTGCGCAGCGGCCCTTGCTACGACTTCCCGCGCTACCGGAGCACCGTGCACGAGGTGACCCAGGCCTTCGCCGCCGCCTCGCGCGAGGTGCTGGCGCTGGAAGCCGAGCTGGCGGGGCCTCGCGCGCAGCCGCGGCTCGCCGGCCACGTGCGCAGCCTGCAGCAGCTGGAGCAGACGCGCCTGGCCACGGTGAGGCCACGACCCCTTCCCCACCGTGTCTCAGACCCGGACCTGCACCCCACTGCGCGGCCTTGGGGGATGGGGGGACGCCCCGGACCCCGACGTCTTACACGCAGCCCCCCCCCCCATGGCGCCCCAGACCCCTTCCTGGTCCCACCTCACACCTTCACCTGTTCTCCAGCCTTGCCCTCTCCTGTCCCTCCCCAATCTTACCCTCTATTCGGTTTAGTCGTCGGTCACGCCCACCTCGTCCGGCCACGCCCACCGCCGCACAAGCATCTCCCAGGCCACGCCCCCACAGCCCCCCCAGCGGCCATGGCTGTTCTCAGGGTCTCGGGTCCCACTCTCCCACTTGGGCAGATAGAGGGAGCGGGGTTCCCAAGACTTGCCCCCTCCCTGGGGTCCCTCCGTCGCTACCTAAGTTCTTGACCTTCTTGACCGTTTCCGCCCCTGGGCTCCGGTGCCCCGCCCACTCTGCCCCTGCCGCTAATCCTGGCAGGGGGGGGACAGGGGGGGCCAGGTGAGGCCACGCCCATCCCTTGGTCCGCGGGCATTCCCAGGCGCGCCCCCTGCGTGACCTCAGTCTCGGCCTACGTACTTGGCCCACGGCCACCCTGGGGTGAGAACACCCTGCCCGTCGGGGGAAGGGGGGCAAGGGCATTATTTCAAACCTTAAAATTTGTACCCCCATAATATGCTGAAATTAAAAAAAAAAATACACACACCTTGCCCTGCCCTTGGAGCCATGAAGCCCCGCCCGCTCCATCCTGCCAGGATCCCCGACCCTGGCCCGCCTGCCCCGCCCCTGCAGGCGCCCCTCTAGACCGGTTTCCAAACCCTCAGCCCCACAGCACCTCTCCTCCATGGACACAGTGGGAGGGCGCGGGGCGCCTTCTGCCCGTTGCAGTAACGCCCTGGTTGCCCGTTCCCCCGCCAGGTCGCCCTGCTGCAGCTGATGGGGACCCCGGAGTGGACAGGGCAGGAGGACGCAGTGCAGGCGCACCAGCTGAAGACGAAGTGAGCGCTGCCGCCGGGGACACGCTCGATTTGCACGCGCACCCTCCGGCCCAGGGCCGGCACGATCAGACCCTCCGGCCCGCACGCAGTCTCCTCAGGGCGGGCGTCCTCACCTGGGGGCCCCTAAGCAGGCACAGTCCCCAGAGGGGACAGCCCTGCAGTGTCAGTGCTGGGACGCAGCTGCACGTCGTGACGCACGCTAATCCTGCACGCGTGGCTGTACCTGAGCTAGGGCAGGGTCCCCCAGACCGCACCGGGCACACGCCTGTCCTCAGCACCCAAGTGCGCGCGCATGCGCTCACATACGCGACCTGTGTCACGCGCACACGGTCGCAACCTCCTGATGGCACACACCCCACCGAGATGGCCTTTCCTCTCAGCCCACTCTGACCAATGTATGTATGGGCCACCGCCTCCCCCCAAGCACCCGCGAGGTCTGTCCCTCCCTGGCGCTGCCTGGAGGCCGGGCGCGGGCAGCAGGAGGGCCCCGGGCGCGCGCAGCCCCCTCGGAGCTGCGCCGCAGCGGCTAATTCGCCCCATCTGGGTTTTATTTATAGTTCCCATCCGCTCTTGTAGGGTAATTAAAACCATGGAGGCGATCAGCGAGGTTCTGCAGGACCTCAGGTTTGATGTGGAGTCTGCTGAGTGATGGTGGCTCCCCAAGGAAGCGCGCGAGAGATGGGAAATGCGGCCGGTGGCGCGTGGCCCAGCCCTGACCGCCAGCTGGCCGGGGTCGAGCCCCACGGGGGCTGCGGACCCTCCTCCAGTTCGGGCTCCTCCCACAATAAAGAAGCCTTCCCCCGCAGCTGTCTCTGTGTCCCGGGGGGTGCTGGGGGACCAGTGGGCCTGGGGAGGGGACCCCCACCCTCGCCGAAACTCTGATGTTTTGGATCACACCCTCCAAGGAGTTCAGAGCCAGACGTGGAAAATTCCAGAGAGAGACTCCAGTCCCAAAGGGCCACAGGGATGCCTGCACACCTCCCCCCAAACCTCACAGCTCCTGCTCTGGGCGGATCTGGCCCCAAACTCACCTCCGCGATCAGAGCACCTAAATAGCTCGTTTATTTTAAAAGAAGACTCTTTGGAAGGGGCCCCGGATGTGGGGAGCGACGGCTCCCTTTTCGCCACCAGCCCCAGCAAGAGTTGGGGGCTCCCCTAACCCACCCTCCCGCGCGCCAGGCTGCGCCCCAAGCGTGGCCTCGCGTGGGGCTCAGAGCTGTTTTGGCCGTCGAGGCTCAGGAGTGCCTGCCGCTGCCGCCGCGGCTCCTGCTGAGGGGGATCAGGCGCCCTGAAGTGAGGGCACACAGGTGGCCCCGGTTTGGGCTCCGCCCCTGGCGCCCCTAGAGCTTATCTGGCAGGACCTGTAGGCAGAAGGGGAGCCAAGCTAAGCAGGGAGCCCGGGAGGGCTCAGCACCACGGAGCCACTGAGGAAGCCCCAGCTCAGGTCCTGACCCCACCACTTTCAGCTGTGTGACCTTACGCAGGACGCTGTCCCCCTCTGGGCCTCGGCTTCTCCCCCGTCTGAGAAGCCGAGACTACCTGGCCGCCCCGCGGGGTGTCCCGCAGGTAAGAGCACTTGGCACGGGGGCCAGCGCGCAGTGGGCGCGCACACAGGCTAACTAGGGTGAGTACGTTCACTCCCGAGGGCGAGATTCCACTTTGGACATCTTCGGGGGGTCGGATGCTCTTTAGGGCTACCATGCCAGGCTCACGCCGCTGAATACGACGACGGGAAGGCGGAGGGGCTGCGCGTCAGCGGCTCTCAGGCTGGGGCAGGGGGGCGGGTTGCGCGCGAGGCCTGCAGCCAGGGGAGGGAGGGGCCCGCGTCTCGCCCCGCGCCCACCTGCCCGCCCGGCCCCACTTACCTCTCGCCGAGCCCCGTCTGCCCGAGGGCAGGACCCCCTCGTCCTGTGCTTGGAAGGAAGGCGGCGGTGTCGTGGGGGCTGCGGGCCTGCCTCCCCAGCCTGCTTCCCTCCCGCTCCCCTGCCCGTCCCCTCCCCCACCCCCACCTGCGCGGGGCCCCGCCTCCTTCCTACCTGGTTGCGGGTCTTGTGCGACTTCTGCATCCAGGCTCGCCACTGGTCGTAGAGGCGGAAGCTGAGGTTCGAGCAGTACGCGTGCTTCTTGAGCCAGCCCAGGAACTGCTTGAGCTCGCGCCGCACCGGGCCCGAGCTCGGCTCGCCGCCCCCGCTTGTGTCTTCTGTTCGCTCGTCTGTGTCCGGTGCGCTCTGCGGGTGGGCGGGCGGGCGGGCGGGCGGCAGTGTCAGGGCGCGCCCGGCAGGGGGCGGCGCGGCGCTAGGTGGGTGTATGGCCGCGCGTCGTCTTCGGTGGTCACTCTCCTCTCCGCCCCGCCTCTGTCCCCCCCGTCCTCCCCGCGGCCCTGCGCGGCAGCCCAGCTGCGCCCCCCCCGCCCAGCTGCGCCCCTGGGGAGGTGGGGGCGGGGGAGGAAGGGGCTCCTCCTCCACGTCTCCTCCAGGAACCCGATTCCTGCGGCCTGAGCCAGGTGCGCAGCGGGGGAGGGGAGGAGGAGCGGGGGCCCTCTGCAGGGATGAGACACAGAGACAGCGACGGACGGGGCTGGGGGGCTGCACAGGCGGGAAAGGGGGACAGAGACGCTGAGGACACTGAGACCCGGGACAGGGACATGCAGGGGGTCACAGCGAAGAAGGCAGCCCAGATCAAAGGGACCACGGATGGAGACAGGGTGGGACAGGGACCCTGGGGACATAGGGACAAAGAGACCAGCAAAGACGCGAGACAGAGGGCAAGAGTGACGGGGAGACGGAGGGAGACAGAGTGCAAGAGGATCCCAAGGGACGGTCCCCACGCTGGGCCTGGGAGCAGGAGCTGGGGGGGCGGGGAGTGGGCGGGCAGGGCCAGGTGGGAGGCCTGCCTGTTGGTCCAGCTGCCGGCTGCAGCCAGCCCAGAGCAGGCCGGCGGATAAGGACATCGGCCTCACGTCATAAATAAAGCCGGGGACCCGCTGACAGGCCCTGGCACGGCCGCGGCCCCCGCCGCCCCTGCCGGCCTCCCCTGCCTCCCCGCGGACGCAGCGCCTGCTGGCTCCCGTGCAAGATTCGCAGGTGCTGGGCACGAGCAGGGGCCAAGGCTCAGGCCCCGCCCGGCCGCGCTCGCTCCCGCCCACCCCTGAACCTGGAGGGGCCCGGGATAGGGGCTGGATTGCGGGCTGGAGCCCGGCTCTGCCCCTCTCTGGCTCTGGGACCCTCCCCGGGCCTCAGTTTCCCCACCGTCCCCATGAGCATGGGCTTGGACTTCCAGTGAACCGAATTCAGATCTCTGTGCGACCTCCTGGGGTCCCAACGTCCTCACCTGAGGAAAAAGGGGTCCCCCCTGCAGTGGTGGGGGTAGCAGGGACTGGTACTGCCCCCAAACGCTTAGGTGGCACCCACCATGTGGGCACCTGTCACGGGGAATTATGTCATCCAACCCTCACAAGAGCCCGAGGCAGGTGTGGTTCTTGTCCTGACTTCCCGGATGGGGAAACTGAGGCTAGGCAATCCAAGCGAGGATTCCGTTTCATTTCACAAAGGAAAGAAGGGAAGTCCACAGGCTCAGAGGAAGCCCAGACAGCAAGAGGAAGCAGACCCGGACTCCTGATCATTCCCATCCCCCCACCCTGATCAGAAGGGGAAACTGAGTCCCATCGGACGGGGAGCTGGCAGCCTAACGGCCTAGGAAGCAGGGGTCTCAAACTCACTTGCTCTGAGGCCTGAGGAAGGAATTTAAGTGGGCAAAGCAGGCCAGGTGGCGGTGGGCAAATGGAGAGTGAGGGCTGCTAGTGGGGGCCGTGGGCTGTGTCTTGCTGCCCTTTCTGGAGAATTGATTTTTCTAGGGGATGGAGGATATCTGTGCAAAAACTTCCTGTTTTTAAGTTTCCGCAAGTAGGTCACACTTTTCCTGTCCCAATGACAGGCCAAAGACAGTAGTAGAGCCAGGGACCACATTTTGGCCCTGCTGGGGCCACCAGTTGGAGACCCCCTGCTCTCTTGGAGCAAACAAGGAAACGGGGGCTCAGGCCGGCTGGGGGTGGCTCGGGGGCTGCCCGGCCCTGCCCTGCTGGCGCGCTCACCGCTGCGGGGGGTGGAGGCGGCCGTGGGGTGGCTCCACTCGCTCCAGATCCCAGCCTTCTTGGAGCCGTAGATTCCGAACGGGTTGCAGCGCACTTGCACGAAGTAGACCGTGCCGGGCTTCAGGCCCGCCAGGCGGCACGAGGTCTGATTGCTGACGTCATCCACCACCTGGGCAGGCAGGGCAGGGTCAGGGGGCGGGGGCGGGGCCGGGGCCGGGGGAGGGGCCGGGGGCGGGGCGGGGCGGGCACCTTCCAGTCCACACTGTCCTCCACGCGGTAGCGGATCTGGTACTTGGCTTGAAAGAGGAAATCCTTGAGGGCTGGTGGCGAGACCCAGCGCACGCTCAGCTGGTCCTCCAGGCCCCCGACGCGGCTCACGTGCACATCAGGTGGGGGGTCCGTGGTCACTGCGGCCGAGGGGGTTGGGGGGGGGAAGCGGAGTCAGGTCACTGCGCTGGGGGAAGGGGGCTCCCCTTGGACCCGGCTGGGGTCCCCGAGCGAGCGCCTGGGGCTGTCTGGGTTCAACCCCTCCCCGGTGGCACCTGCCTCCGTTTCCCTCCTTCATCGGCCCCCGCCCCCAGGGCTGCTGGATTACGTGATTGCACTAAGCACTCAATTAATGTTAGCTGTTATCGCCGTTGTTATCGGTGACGGGAGAAACTTAATCCTACTGCAAGGCGACGCGGGGAAGCAGACACGGCCTGGCTGACGACACCACTCTCGTGCCCGAGAGGCCAGGGGGGCTGTCGAGCCGCGGGCGTCCTGCTGCCCCCACCCCCAGCCCCTCCCCACTTCACCCAAGTCCTTGATGTGACCTTGCTGGGTGCCAGGGAACACCCCAGGCTTTGTGAGGGGCCCGGGTGCGTCTATGGACAGCCAGGCCGGGCGCCCTGCCCCCCCCCCAGGCCTTGGCGAGGGGCTGAAAGGGTTAAGGCACAGGCCTGCTTGGGGCTGAGAAACACCCTAATTAGATTAGGCCCAATTCTGCTCGCAGATCATCCATTTCCTGCCTCCCGCCCTGCGCCCCCCCCCCAGCTCCAGGCCTGGGCTTCCTGGGGCGCCTCCCGACCTGGGCGTCCCTCCTCGCGGCCCCCTCCTGCACACCTGGGCTGCCGAGGGGGGGGGGGAGGCGACCAGGCCAGGTGTTCTCCGCAGAGTGCGGGTATATCCTGGCTGGGTTTTTTTTGGGGGGGTGGGGCTGGACTGAGGAGTGGACGCCCCCACTAACCTGGGTCCCCAGCCAGCCAGCAGGGACAGACCGGAGGAGATGCAGCCGTGGCTGCGGGGTGGGCAGGTGGGACCCCAGGAAAGCAGACGAGATGCAAGGGGGGGCCCTGTGGGATGCCCGGAGGGCCAGGCTGGCCCCCAGGGGAGGGCCCTGGTGGCACCAGAGGCTCACCCACATCCAAGATGTCCAGCGTGAGCACGTCCGAACGCGCAGAGCCCAGGCGGTTGGTGGCCTCCACCCAGATCTCGTAAGGCGTGAAGAGTGCCAGGTCCTTGGGAACGTGGCAGGAGTGAGGCCCCACCGTGTGGTACTCCTCACAGGTGTTGTCCTGCCCATACCACCTGCGGGGACCAGAGGCGGCCACAACACGGCGTGAGGGTCCCTTATGGCCCCCAGACCCCACCGAGGCAGCCCCGGGGGAGTGGGGGTGCAGGCGGGGAGACATGGGGCTCAGAGAGGGCCAGCACCGGTCAAGGTGACACGGGGCCGCCCTGGGGCCGCCACCAACCTCAGCTTGTACTTGAGGGAGTAGTTGGTGTGGAGGAAGGTCTCCCCGTGGGCTCCGGGCGTCCAGCGGCAGGTCAGGTCCTTCATGTTCTTGGACCAGCAGCTGATGTTGAAGGGTTTCTCGGGGGGCACTGGGGGGGGAAGGCGCGGGGGCTGAGGGGCTGGGCCGGCCCTGCACAGGGGAAGGGGCTGCTGCACCCCCTCTGCGGGGGGCCCCCACCTTGGAGTGGCAGGAGGGTGGTCAGGGCAGTCTCTGGCGAGGGGACGCTGGCACGGCCACCTGCACAGGTCTCTTTTTTTTTTCTTTGAGACAGAGTCTCGCTCTGTTGCCCAGGCTAGAGTGAGTGCCGTGGCATCAGCCTCGCTCACAGCAACCTCAGACTCCTGGGCTCAAGCCATCCTCCTGCCTCAGCCTCCCGAGTAGCTGGGACTACAGGCACACGCCACCATGCCCGGCTAATTTTTTCTATATGTATTAGTTGGCCAATTAATTTCTTTCTATTTATAGTAGAGACGGGGTCTCGCTTCTGCTCAGGCTGGTTTCGAACTCCTGACCTCGAGCGATCCTCCAGCCTCGGCCTCCCAGAGTGCTGGGATGCCAGGCGTGAGCCGCCGCGCCCGGCCCCACGGGTCTCTTGAGGACGGCGAGCTCCCGTTCCCACCCCAGAGACCCGTGCCAGCTGTGCCAGTGTGCCCCTCTGCGTAAGGAGGTGCTGTCCCCAAGAGTCACCCCCGGAGGGTCCACTTACGGCCGACATAGAGGCAGGAGCCGGCAAGGATGCTGCCGTCCCGGGCGTGGCACACGAGGTTGTCCCCCGACTGCTGCCTGGACCCGTTGAGGTTGGCCAGGGCCAGGGCCAGGGTGGAGGCATTGAGCACGCGGGAGAGCTCGGGGGCCAGGCGGCGCCCATTGAGGGTCCAGTAGAGACCCTCGGCCGTGGCCCCGGGGGGGTCCCCGTGCACTGAGCACGTGGCCTGCAGGGAGGAGCCGATGAGGAGCGTGGGGTCCTGCGGGCTGATCACGGCCGTGTCTGGGGTCAGAGAGGAACACCTGTCAGGCCTGGGGCGGGGCCCCCCCCTGAACCCCCCACCACGCGAGGACCTCCAGGGCTCACGGCAGTCCCGAGAAGGAGTGGTCTATCATCACCACCACCACCCCCATTTTACAGACAAGGAAACTGAGGACCAATGAGGTCAGATGCCCAGTCCAAGGTCAGTGGCAAGGCCAAGGTCAAGCCAGCTCTGTCTGACTCCACAGCTCGGGTCCTTCCAAACCACGTCATGACTCCCTTGCTCAAGGCTCTCTGACCCGTCCCAAAACTCGGGCGTAAATGCCCTCTCAGATCCAAGTGACTCTTGCTTTGCACAGAGTTCTGACACTCTGCTTTTTTAAAATTTTTTTCCTTTATTTTTCATTTTCTCTCTTTCCACAATTAGTAACAGAAGATTGTGAGTTCTTTCCGCGATACTCCCAGAGCCTCATACATAGTAGGTGCTTCTTGGGGAGGAGGGGGGCGACACTTTGAGGAAAAAAAAAAAAAAAAGAGCCCTGAGACACCTACTGTGTGAATTGTTAAGAGCACCATTTACTGAGAACTTGCGGCGTTCTAAATACTGGGCTAAGACTCTGCCTACGTTTTCTCATCGAATCCTCCCCATTGCATGGATGGAAAAGCACCAACGCTTTGAAAGGTCAGGTCCCCTTGCCCGCGGCCACTGAAGGAGGGAAAGGCACTGCCACTGCAGCTGAAGGCAGCTGAGGCCCCCGACCCCCACCTGAAGGGGACTGCACTTCACTGCTCTTTCCCTGGACTCAGTTTTCCTCATCTGCAAAGCGGGAGCGGGGAAGCTCTTTGTCTACTGGGCTTCTCTAAGGTCAGCCGGGAAGGGGGACCGCACACTGGGTCGGGTGCTGGGCGCAGGGGCCTGGGGGACGCCTGCAGGTGGTGTCTCCTCACCTGCAGCCACCTGGGCAGCCCAGGGCTCCCCCTTCTGGAGACTTGAACCTAACAGGGACCCAGAAAAGGAGGAGGGGACCCAGAATCCAAGCCCCTGACGCCTGTCTGAGTCTCATTTTCTTCCACCTGGGAAGTGGCACCGACCACATGGACTGTTTGAAGGGGAGGGGAGGGGACATAATGTCCCAGGGCCTGGGTTCGAAAGCCCCCAGCTCGCTGCGTAAGCTTGACCCAGTCAGTGCCTTTGCTGTGAGCCTCTGGGAACAGGCCTCTCCTTCCAACCAGAGACCCCGGGGGGACTCATTCGTTCATTCATTCATATTCATTCATTCATTCATTCATATTCATTCATTCATTCATTCATTCCAGGAGCACCTGTCCCAGGATGTTCAGTGATGACCACGAGACACAAAAAATTCCTGCCCTTTTGTGGACCCTTAAATCCAAGGAAGCAGCAGGAAAAAAGAACTATCTAAGAAAACAGATCAGAACAAAATAAAGCAGGGGCCAGAGGGAGACAGGGCAGTGGCAGCTGTCTGGGGAGGCGACATTTGTGCCGAGGCCTTAATAAAGTCAGAGAAGTAGCTGTGGAAGTATCCAGGAGAGAGTGTCCAAGCAATGGCAGCAGCAAGTGCAAAGGTCCTGGGGCAGGAGTGGCAGCCAACAGGGCCTGAGAGGTTAGCAGGGACCCCCAACCTGCAGGGAGGGGTTATTCCAGAATTCTGAGCAGGGGAGGGAGGTGGTTGGATTTGCATTTAAAGGGACTCCCAAGGGGCTGTGAGGAGCCACTGCCGCAGAGAAGGCAGCCAAGGACAGGGCAATCCTGGCCCCCGGGGAGGCCCTCTGAATGCCAGTGGCTGCCCTGGCCTGGCCCTCACTGCCCCGGATGGGAGAAGCGGGGTGGACACGCTTGGGCCCAGCCATGACGACTTTCCGGGGCAAACTTGGCTCCAGGGCCGCGTCTTGCTGGAGGCTGGGCGCGCAGTTGCGCTTGGGGCTCGGCCCAGGGCTCGCCGGAGGTCTCCGCATCCGTGCGAAGGAGCCGGCTTCGTGGGCCAGAGCTGAGGAGGCGGGGGCGGCCAGGGGGGGGAGCGGGGGACCAGGGGGCCGCCCCGGAGGTCCCAGGCAGCCAGCCGCCCGCTAATTCGGAATTCCTTCTGCATGAACTCGGGCGTGCCAGCGTCTCTGCCCTGGCCCACCCACCGCTTCCTGCCTGGGCGCCCCCCCCCAGCGGAGCGGGAGGCACGGCCAGGCCTGCCTGAACCCCAGACCTACTCTCAGCCCTCCCTGGGTGGGTCATGCCCCGCCGGCCCCCCAGCCGCCACCAGGGCCTGGCCTAGAAGGGGCTCTCTGGGGGGTCCTGGCTGGGGGGGCACTGCCCCTCTGCCACACCCGCCTGCCCGCCCGGCCTGGCCCACTTGCCAGCAGCTGCAGCTGCCCTCTCGGAGCTGGGCGGGGGAGGGGGAGAGGGCAAGGCCACGCCGGCCCGGACAGGCCAGTCCCCTAGCCCTGAGTCCCCGAAGTAGAGGTCAGAGGGAAGCTCTCCCCCACCCCACCCCCAGTGAGGGTGCAACGCCAGCTGCAGCACCTGGGCCGGCAGCTTTCCCTCTCCAGGTCTCAGTTTCCTACTCCATAGATTGGGAGGAGGGACACGTCCTACCTGCTGGGGAGATTAATGAGGCCCGGCACCCCCTAGCACCTGGGAGCCACCGGCGCTACAGCCCCTCCCAGCTCCGGGGTCCCGGCAGGCTCCCCCACTCCCTCCAAACAATGGGCCCAGGCGCTGGGGACAGCGAAACAGCAGCTGGGAGCAGCCCACTGCGCCCCGGGGGAGGGTGCTTGGCCTGGTTTGGAGGGCCGCCTAGAGGGCTCCCCAAGCAGATCCCCGGGTTGGGCTTTAGGACGCCCCCCCACCCCCCTTCACTCGCCGCCTGCCCTGCTTTCCCGCAGAGCTGGGGCCTTTAAAAGTTTTTTCTTCCTCCCTTTCCCAACCTGGAGCCACTGCCGTTATTAAAAAGGAACACCATGTGTTTTAAAAGGGAAAAGTGTGAGATTCTCTGCAAGAAGCAGGGCGGAAGGGTGGCCTCCATCCCAGGGTCCCCCATGGGGGTCCCCCATCCCCCCCCAGTCCCGCTGGTACCTGCAGACACTTTACGACCCACCCGCCTGCCGGTCAGGTGCTAAGACACACCGTAAGTAGAAACATATTGTGGAGGTGTGAGAATCTTTTATTTAATTTCTTCCCCCCTTAAAGGAGAAAACACACACGCACAACAACCGCCCCCCTCCCCAACACGCTTTCTGCTCTGCACGCTGGGAAACAAAGCTCGCGCCAACAGTGGCACTCCCAGGCGCTGCCCACGGCCGGGAAGGGCCGCCAGGGGCCCCGGGAGGGCCTGGGGGTCGCCCCTCACCTGCCCAGGTGCACTGGGCAAAAGCTGGGCTTTCTCAGCAAGTGTCCCCAGAGGGTGCCCAGACCCCGCCTGTCCCCGAGGAGCCCGCAGTTGAGCCTGCAAACAGCTCAGCTCAGCACGGGGCTGCCTGGGAGCAGCGCGAGCCCAGCCGCCCCGGGGTGGCCTGTGCGCCGGGACGGGGACCGGGTGCGTGGAGTGACGGTCATGCCCCAGCCCGCGTGCGTGCCCCTGCGCTGCCTCCCCTGCGGAATGGGTGTGCGTGCCCGCGGTGGGGTGCGAGTATGCATCTGCGATGCAGCGCGAGTCTGAGGGCGAGAGTGACGGGCCACAAGCCAGTGTGAGTCTTTGTGTGTCTCTGGGTGTGTCCTACAGCGGGTCTGGATGTGGAGACGTATCCTGGCGGGGCTGTGCGCGGGGGGGCTGGAGAGTGCCTGAGCCCAGGAGCGCCCCACAGGGCGGAGGTCTTGGCCTGTGGGGCAGCGAGTTCCCAGTGCTCCCCCCACCCAAAGTCGGGGCCAGCGGTCCCGGACTCACTGGCTCCGGCTCCTCCCTCTCACCCACGAGCGCACAAAGATTTCTCTCGCTGGAGACTCTCAGCCCGGCGCAGCCTGGCCGAGGACGGTTCTGAGCGCCGCCAGTGGCGGGGACTCGGCGGACCCCCGTGCGCGGGGTCCCGCAGGGGGAGGGCGGCGGCGGCGGCGCCGGCCCGTGGAGAGGCACGTCCCCGGGGACCCCGGGCCGCGCGCCAGGCGGCCAGAGCGGCCCCTCCAGCCCCGCCCTCCCCGTGGGGCTCATCCCTCCGCCCGGGGGGCCCCGCTGGGGGCCCGCACCCAGTGCGCCAACCGCGTGCGCCCCCGCCTGGGAGCGGTGCCCCGCGGTCCCCACGGCTCTGAGTCCACGGAAGCGGACGCGCGCGCCCGCTACGTCCCGGCTTGCAGAGGGTCCCAGGCCACGACCCTCCGGCCCCGGGGGCCAGGCCAGGCGCCAACAGCCAGGCTGCCTAGGTAAGAAGGCCTCGGACGCAGAAGCCGAACCCTCGGGCCCACGGACTGCCGCACAGTGCGCCCCGCAGGTGAGGGCGCCCCGAGGGCCGCGCCGGGGGCGCCTTCCTTTGTTCCCCGGCCGTCCAGGTGGCGCCCGCGCCCCCTCCCCGCGGCTGCCCCCGGGGCGCCCGCTCTCTGCTCGGGCGGGAGGGGAGGAGCGGGGCACTGGGTACTCACGGGCTCCGGATCCGGCTCGCGGCGCCCCGAGGACGCAGAGCAGCAGCAGAGGCAGCAGCGGCGGCGGCCGCCGCGCGGATTGGGCGGCCGGGCCCGGGCGGCCGGCGGGCATGGCCGGCGCTGCCGGGTCGCGCGGCTGGCGGCCTGCGGCGGTGGCGAAGCCGGCGCGCGGGGCGCGGGAGGCGCGGGCGCGCCCGCACGTCGCTGGCGCGGACGCGGAGGCCGGAGCAAGTCTGAGCAGCCGAATTGACAAGGCGCTAATGCGCCACTGCCCCGCCCGGCCCCGCCCCGGCCCGCCGGCCCCGGGGCGCGGCCCGCACCGCCTCCGCCGCCGCCAGCCCGCGGCACCGCGCGCCGCCTCCGCCCCACCGCGAACCGCGCGCGCCCTGTCCCGCGGCCCAGACCCCCCCACTCAACTCCTACCGTTCCGGACCTCCCCCTCCAACCCTGCCAGGTCCATGCTCCCCACCCCCAGCCTGGGATCCGGCGTCCCCAGTCCCGTTTCCACGCCCCTGTCCGCGTCCCTGCACCCCGCTCTCAGCCCAGCGCCCCCTAAGACCCCCAACCCGGCGCCGCTCCTCCATGTCCCCCTCCCCCACCCAAACCTCTGTCTCGGCCCCTACCCCACTCTGGCCCCGCCCCCCACTGAGCGGTCCCTGAGCCCCGCCTACCCCCATCTCCAGCCCCTCTTCCTCCCCGGGGGCCCGAAAGCCGCCCCCAGCCCCACGTCTCCCGCGCGCGGGTCCCACCGGCCGCGGCCCTCCCGCTTCATCCCGCGCGTCTGCGGTTCTCCGCGCGTAGCCTCGGCCCGGGCTTTGCTGGAGGGGAGGAGGAGGAGGAAAAGCAGGAAGGCACGGAGTCCCCGGCCCTCGGCCTGGCTCGGCGGTCCCCCTCGCGCGGCTTGGATTTGAGGTCGCTCGGGGACGCCCCGGAGCCTCCGCAGGGAGCTGCGGTGCGGGCAGACGGGGAGACGCGGTCCCCCGTGGGAGCGGGACCCCAGGCCTGCGCGAACGGGGTCCCTCGCCGGGGTAGCAGGGATTCCCAGGCGCAGGGCGGTGAGGAGGACTGCCCCGGACTCACCCACAACCCCCCCACGGAAAAATCCACTCAGCGGCCCGCGGGTGGGGTGCGCCACGCGGTGAGTAATCGCTCGGGCGGCCGCCGCCCGCCGACTCCAGGTAACGCCGGCCGCCCGGAGCGACGCATAGTTTGTCTTGCTGCTCTCTGCGCGAAGAGCCTTCTCGGTGTTATTATTTTTGGCCATCGCTCGGGTTTCGGGACCCCTCCCGGCCCGGGCGCCTCATCCCCCTTCTCTCCGTCCCCACCCGATCCGGACGCCCGAGAGAAAAAGGATTCCTGGCCTCCGAGGCCCCCGCGGAGGGGGTGCCTGCGATGAGAGTCCCCGGGCGGGGTGGGTCGCAGCCCCGCCCCCGCTGCCCTGTCCCGGGAGGGAGCGAGCTCTCAGCCCCTGCGCAGGGGCTCTCTTGGGGGGGCTGCACCCTCCTCGCATGCCCCCAGCCAGCCGGGTGGGTAAGAGTGCCCAAGGGGGGCTCGAGGTGGTTCCCCGGGCCTCCGATCCCAGTTCGGACTCCACTCTTGTCAAAAAAGATTTGACAATGTGGCCTGGAGGGGGGGGGGAGCTCAGGGCGCCGCCCCCGTCCCTCCATCTGGACCCCGGATAGGTAGGGAGGTAGGCCACAGCCAAGGAGGGGGGGGGAACTGTCGTTTACTGGGGCAAACCAGGCCGCCTGTGCCTCAGTTTCTCCCCCTGCACGCCGGGCGACCGCCGGCGGAAGGGCTTCGGCGAGAAGGACGCCAGGCCAGCCGCAGAAGTCGCCAGGATCTCAGCGCCCAGCGCGGCCCTGCACGTCCTCCCGGAGCAGACGGAGGTGGTCCGCAGGCCTGCGCGTCCCCGGCGACAAATGGAGCCATGTCGTCCCACCACCTTGGCCCGGCGGCGGGTTAAGTGGAGGTGGCAGCTCTTGGCTGGAGCTGGATTCCAGGATGCTTGCCGCCCCTCCCCCACAGCCCCTGCCCTGCAGATGTTCCCTGTGGGGCTGGACACGTCTGGTCCCCTCCTGGGAGGACTCCGGGCCTGTGGAGCAGAATCAAGACACTTCCCCCCATCTCCGCTCCTCCCCCCAGTTATTTCGGCCTTGGGAAGGGGCTCCCCCCTCCACCCAGGTGCTCAGGCCGGAGACCTGGAAGCCCACGTGAGGACTCTCCTTGGCTCGCCTCACTCATCCAATCCATCAGCAAGTCCTGTTGGCTCTGATTCCAAAACACATCCCCATCCTGAGACTGGGACCCCTCTCTCCCCATTCCTTTCGCATCCAGGCTCCAGGTTCGCCCTGGGGGATGCCTCCTGGCCTCCTCCTCCTTCTCTGGGGCTTCCCATAACCCTCCTACCTTGATCTGCACGCCAGGCTGGGGAGCTGGTTTTTTGTTTTTTTTTTTTTTTTGAGACAGAGTCTCGCTTTGTTGCCCAGGCTAGAGTGAGTGCCGTGGCATCAGCCTAGCTCACAGCAACCTCAAACTGCTGGGCTCAAGCAATCCTCCTGCCTCAGCCTCCCTAGTAGCTGGGACTACAGGCATAAGCCACCATGCCCGGCTAATTTTTTCTATATATTTTCAGTTGGCCAATTAGTTTCTTTCTATTTATAGTAGAGACAGGGTCTCGCCCTTGGCCCTTGCTCAGGCTGGTCTCTCCAACTCCTGACCTTGAGCCATCCTCCCGCCTCGGCCTCCCAGAGTGCTAGGATGACAGGCCAGAGTGCTAGGATGACAGGCCAGGCGTGCTCATGCCGGCCTTGGGGAGCTTTTAAGAGAAGCAATGAGTTTTGTCTGGGCCCTGACACCCCCTCCCTGACCTCTCCCTCCTCCTCTCCCCTCTCCTGCCCTCCCTCACTCAGCTCCCCACACTGCAGTCCCGGTTCCCCCCAAAACGCCAGGCTTGTTACTATGGAAAGACCAGGCCCTTGTGCGTTGGCCGTTCCCTCTGTTCCCCAAATCTCCCCCAGTCAGCCCCCCCTCTGCCACCAGGTCCCAGGTCCCATGTCACCTCCTCAAAGAGGCCTCCCACCCTTCCCGGGCTCTCTCCCTCCCCCTCACTTCGTGTTGTGCTTTGTTTTCTTTGCACCTATAGCTCTAATAGCTTGTTTCTCCCGCAACTTCTTTTTCTTAGACTGCCAGCACCCCGAAAGTGCACTCTCTCTCTCTCTCTCTCTCTGGGACCCCATACTGGGCCCAGCCCAGCGAGGGCTGAAAGTTCAATAAATATTGGCAAAACGAATTGACGCAGGTGGATTCTCAGTTCCTCCAAGTGGCAAGAAAATTCAGTCCCACTATGTCATGCTGCCTGGGGGGTCCGAGCCTGCCCCATCCCCCCCTCATTTGCTGTGTGACCCAAGCCAGTAGACATCCCTTTCTGGTCCTTACCCATAGAGAGGGGTATGGACTGTTTCCCAACCTTGCCCGGCCCCATGCTGGAGCGTGACCTCTGCCCTCTGGGTGACCTTTTGCCCCATACCTTCGGCTTTAGGGAAAGCCAGTTGACCCTGAGGTATGTCCTTCCTTGCCCTGGGTGCCCGCCACAGCTTAACCCCTTCCTCCCCAGCCCCCCCCCCACCTCTTTGCACAGAAGGGGAACCCATTGCCGAACTTCCGCAAATATTGACCCAAGTCCTTGAAGGTGGCTGGGAATGTCTGAGGGACGTGGATGGCGGCCTGCTCCATGGGCCAGGGGAGGGGCTCCTGCTTAGCCCTGCACCCTCCACCCAAAGCTCACCTCTGGGCGAGAGGTCAGGGTTGGGGGGGCCTCCAGCTCCCTGGTGATTCCAGGGCACAGGGAGGGGACAATGCAAACAGCATCTCCAGGGTCCCCTGGGCACTCACAGCAACCACAAGGCAGCAAGGGTCTGCATGCCTGGTTCTTCGGGGCCTGTGTCACAGGAAGGTGGCCTGTTTTGCCCTAGGCTTTGTAATCTCCACCCTGGAGGCTGAGCCTGACAAATCGGGGTGCCTGGGTCCCCAGTTTAACACCACCTGGACTTCAGGCTCCGGAGCAGGGACAGGGGAGGGGCGGGCGGGCCTGGGGCTGGCCTGGGCGGGTGTGCACTCCGGCCAGGGAGGCCTGGCTTGCGTGCCCCTCTGCACCTTAGGGACCTGGGAAGTCTGGGTCCCAGGAGGCGCCAGCCCCGAGGAGGGAGGGGGACAACCGCTCCCCTCCTTCCTTCCGCCCAACTGTCAGCAAACGGCAGGCGCCGCGGTGCCTTCCCTCCTCCCCGGCTTGGGGGTGGGGGTCAACGGGGTCGCGGTGAGGGCGGCAAGGGACAAAGGGCGCTTGTCCGCTGCCCGCCTTGACCTCGGGCCGCGGCTTCCCGGACGCCTGGCCCTCGGCTGATTCACGCCCGAGCGGGCCGCAGCGCCCCCCGCCCGCCGCCCCAGGCCAGGCCGCCCCGGGGGGTAGGAAGTGGGGGGGCGAGGGGCGGCGCCGAGTCAACTTTCCCTCTTAAGCCCCGAAGGAATGTCGGCGGATTTCCTGAAACCCGACCCTGGCCGCCCGCCGGCCCGCCCGCCCCTCACCTGGACCCGCTCCCTCGGGAACGCCAGGCGGGGCGCGGGGGCTCACCTGGGGGGCTAGGGTCAAGTCCTCCTTCCGCTCCCCCCCAGCAGCCTCGTGGAGCGGAAAGGGGGTGGGTGGGCTGCAATCAAACTCTCCCCCTTCTCCCTGGGGGCGACCTGCCCCCCCACCCCTCCAGCCTCAGTTTCCCCATCTGCAAAAGGGCGCGAGGTGTCCCTCTTTCTTGTTGCACTTTAAGGGACGCCTCTTACGCCCGAAGGCACCCCCCTCCCGGGTTGGCTGGGCTCTGCCAGCTTCTCTGCTTGTCTCTGTCTCTGTCTCTCTCTGTCTCTCTGTCTCTGTCTCTGTCTCTCTCTCTCTCTCTCTCTCTCTCCTCACCTGGGCTGAGCTCCTTTCGCTCCGCGCCTAGATTTCCACATCCGGAAATAGGACAACTGTGACCCGTACCTTTCCTGTAAGGTTGTCGCAAGAAAGTAGTTTCTGCAAGAAGTGTTTTGTTTGGAATGAATGAAGGACGTTCATTGAGGAGGGGCTAAGCTCGCGGGCCTCTGGAATTAACATGTGCGGGCTTGAATCCCGTCTCAGCGACAAGTCCGGGAGCCTGGGTTCCCCACCTGTGACACGCGGGACAGGATGGCTGTCCATACACAGGGTGGTTTTTTTCCCCCCCGAGGGGCGGGCCGGGCGCGCGGGTGGCTTAGGCGCAGGGCTCCCCGGCTCGCTTCCCACCGCAACGGGCGGGCGGGAGGCCCTCGCCGGCGGGTCGCGCCGGCCCAGCCCGGGAGCGGCGGGGCGGGGCGGGGCGGGGGAGGGGCCGCGCCGGGATCCAGATGTTCGGGGTCCGCCGGGCACAGCCGCGCCTGATTAAGCCACGTGGGGGCCGGCCCCGAGCCGCGGAGATGAAAGCGCGGCGGCCGGCCGGGGGAGGGGGTGCGCCAGGCCCCCCCCTCCCGGGCCGGAACCTGCGGCGCCCTCTGACCCGCCAGCCCGGCGAGGCAGCCGCCCCGTCTGCGGGGGCGGAGCGCAGGAGGGGGACGCGCGGGCGGCGGACTCGGTAGGCACCTGCGCCAGGCGCGCCAGCGACGGGACCCGGGTTTTGAGGCCGCCCCCATTCCGGTTCCCGATGGGCAGGAAGCTGGGGGACCCCCCCAACCCGAGATTTGGCTCGTGGTCCTACAGCCCGTCACCCTGGGGTGTGGCAGTTATGGAACCCAGACGTGTCCTGGAGTCTCCAAGTTTTCCCACGAGAATTAGAACTTCGGGCAGGCGCCCTGCCCCCTTCCCCTGTACGAATCTCTGCGTCTCCTCCCGCCAAGCTCTGGGCGGAGGGACCCCCAACCTGGGGGCCAGGGCCAGATCCAGTCCTTGGATCCGGACTGGGACCGAGGGAGAGGAGGCTGGAGGCGCAGTGGAGGGGTCCAGAGGGCTTCCTGGAGGAGGCGATCTGTGCACAAGTTCCTCTTCCCTCCGAGCTGGGCGCCGAAGCCTGCCCAGTCCTGCCGCCCTAACCTCTCTGCGCCCCGCCGCCCTCCCGCCTTCTCCTACAGCGAGCTCTTGCTCGCCCCTGGGCCCTGGCTGTTCCCCCGCCCTCCCCTCGTGGCCGGCTCAGGTGCCGCCTCCTCCGCGAAGCCCGCCGTGCCACCCGTGGCGACCGGACACTCGCAGCCCGTCACCCTATTCGGTTCCTGTGACCCCTAGCGCTGACGGAGATGCCCCGCCCGCGGTTACCAGGGAGACCTCATGGCACCCCCCCTCCCCCAGATGGGACCGAGGGTGGGGACCGCCATCCACCTGCCCCGCCCGGCCCCCACCGCGACGGTGCCGCAGCCCGGCGCCCCCGCCCGCTCCCGCATCCCCGCCCCCCCTTCCCAGGCTGCCTCACTCGGTGACGTCAGCGCCCCGGTCCCCGCCGCGGCCGCCGCATCCTCCGCGCCCGCCGCCGAGCGGAGTCCGCGCCCCCCGCGCTTCGCCTCGGGCATTGGCTGCGGGTGGCCGCCGATGGCGCCCCCGCGCCGTGCTGCTGCTGCTGCTGTGGCGGCGTCGCCGCCGCCCCGCGCCCGCCGCCGGGCCCTTCGCCCGCAGCTCGAGGGGGGCGCGCAGAGGTGCACTGCCCGGCTTGCCGCGTCGCGACTGGCCGCGGCAGGTGAGGCGGTGCGGCAGCCGGGGGACGCCCGCCCATCCGCCGGGATGGGCGGGGACGCTGCTTCTTGAAGGGCCCGGTTGGGGGGGGGGTTGGGTATCCGGGATGCCCCCCGGGTGGGGGAGGGGGAGGGACAGGGGTCTCGGTGGCGCTGGGCTTCCGCGGGGACGCGCGGGGTCCCGCACGGTGCGGGGCCGTGGGGGGCGGTTGGTCGCCTGGCCAGGGCGGGGCGGACTTTCAGGCGCCCACCCCCTTCCTCGGCTGGGGTTCACACCTTTGGTCCCTCCTTCTCAGTCTTTCCCCCGCGCCCCGCCCCTCCCTGGTCAGAGCTACCCGCCCCTACTCCTATCATCAGACCAGACCCCCACCCCCAGGCCTGGTCCGAAGGTGACAAAACCTGAGTGTCCCTCCTCCCCCTCCTGGGGCCTGAGAATCACTCTCAGTCGACCCCCTCCTCCCTGGAGCCTTAGGGGGGCCCCCTTCCCGCCACCAGTGCCCCTCCTCGTCCCTTCCCTTTTCCAGCCCCTCCCAGTCCCCCCTCCAGCCCCACTGACCTCCCTGGTGTCCCCAACCGCACCCCAATCTCTCTGGATTTGGAGGATGGGGTGGGGCAAACCTGCCTCTCCCCCAAGCTTCCAGTCCCCACCCCGCTCCGCGGCCTGAGAGCCCCGGGTGCCCCTCCCCCAGGCAGAGCCCCAGGGCCCCTCCGAGTCCCCCTACGACCGGGCCGCTCTGACCAGCGCCTGCGAGCGGGGCTGCCGCCTCTACTCCATCTGCCGGTTTGTGGCCAGGAGCTCCAAGCCCAACGCCACCCAGGCGGAGTGTGAAGCAGGTGAGGGCGGGGCCGGGTGGGTGGGGGAGGGGGGGAGGTGGCCCTCACAGGGCCGCCCCCAGGCGAACCCCTGGTGCCCTGCAGCATGCCTGGAAGCCTACGTGAGGGACTCGGAGCAGCAGGCCTGCAGCCAGGGCTGCTGGAGCCAGCCCCCCGAGGAGCCCGAGCCGGAGCCGCAGCAGAAGGTGGGCATCCCCCCCCAAACCCTCACTCACGGCGGGCCAGAGTCCCCCCCTGGCTCCGAGCTGCGTGCCCGGCCTTTGTGGGGTGGTCACGCTCCAGCCTTGTCCCATCTCCAGCCTCAGCTGCCATCTCTGTGACATGGGACACACACACACTACACCCCCCTCCCATCTTTCGAGGTGACAGAAAACAGCCACCGTTGACCACGCACTTACCCTGGCTCAAGCTGACCTCGCTCTCAGCCTGTCCCAGCTTCCTGGTGCCACTCGGAGGCCGTGGTGGCGCATTGCCTGTCGTCGCCAAGCTACCCGGGAGGCTGAGGCAGAGGATCGCCTTAAGAGCCCAGGAGTTGAGTTGGCTGTGAGCGAGGCTGACGCCACGGCACTCACTCTAGCCTGGGCAACAGAGCCTCCAAAAAAAAAAAGAGGGAGCCCTGAATGGGAAGGGCCCACGGTGGTGGCTTTTCCGAACAGCAAAAGGAAACGAGTGGAGGAACGAGAGCGAATGGATGAGCGAAATGGGCTTTCTGGGGAGTCCCAGTCTGTGGGTCCCTTGCTGTGCCGCACGGCATCTCGTGCCTCAGTTTCCCCCGATGCAGCTTTGCCTGGACTCACTCTCCGGCTGTGACAGGCAGATGTGTGCGTGCTTGGGAGAGGCTGCCCCTCCCGGAACCTCTCAGTCCTGAGCCCTCCCAGGTGGCAGTGGCCACCTGCTCATCGCAGGTGAGGGGCTTAGACCAGCACCTGGCGGCTCTGGTGGGGGGCACCTCTCAGGATGGCAGAGGTGGGAGGTGGCCACAAGCCCCGGCGGCTTCCAGTCTTGCCTCTGGCCTCAGCCCTGCCTAGGTGAGATCTGGACAGTTGCCACCCCGGGCAGGACCGGCCCGGTGCCTCCGAGTGGCACCAGGAAGCTGGGACAGGCTGAGAGCGAGGTCAGCTTGAGCCAGGGTAAGTGCGTGGTCAACGTGGCTGTTTTCGTCACCTCGGAAAGATGGGAGGGGGTGTAGTGTGGTGTGTGTCCCATGTCACAGAGATGGCAGCTGAGGCTGGAGACGGGACAAGGCTGAGCGTGACCACCCCACAAAGGCGGCACCGCAGCACGGAGCCAGTGGGGGACTCTGCCGGCCGTGAGTGATGGGTTTGGGGGGGATGCCCACCTTCTGCTGCGGCTCCGGCTCGGGCTCCTCGGGGGGCTGGCTCCAGCAGCCTGCTGCAGGCCTGCTTGCTCCGAGTCCCTCACCGTAGGCTTCCAGGCCATGCCTGCAGGGCACCAGGGGTTCGCCTGGGGGGCCCTTGTGAGGGCCACCTCCCCCCCTCCCCCCCACCCCCGGCCCGCCTCACCTGCTTTCACACTCTGCCTGGGGTGGCGTTGGGCTTTGGAGCTCCTGGCCACAAACCCGGCAGATGGAGATAGGCGGCAGCCCGCTTCCGCAGGCTGGTCAAGCCCGCCCGGTCGTAGGGGGGGACTGGAGGGCCCTGGGGCTCTGCCTGGGGGAGGCACCCGGGCTCTCAGGCCGCGGAGCCGGGGTGGGGACTGGAGCCTTGGGGAGAGGCAGGTTTGCCCCCACCCCATCCCTCCAAATCCAGAGAGATTGGGGGGGGTGCTGGGGACACCAGGGACGTCAGGGGCTGGAGGTGGGAAACTGGCAGGCTGAAAAGGGAAGGGAACGAGGAGGCACTGGTGGCGGGAAAGGGGGCCCCTAAGGTCCAGGGAGGAGGGGGGTCGATCTGAGAGTGATTCTCAGGCCCCCAGGGGGGGAGGGGGGACAAACTCCAGGTTTTTGTCACCTTCGGACCAGGCCTGGGGGTGGGGGTCTGGTCTGATGATAGGAGTAGGGGCGGGTAGCTCTGACCAGGGAGGGGCAGGCGGGGAGGGAAGAGGACGTGGAGAAGGAGGGACCAGGTGGGGGAACCCCCAGGCCCGAGGGAAGTGGGGGTTGGGCGCCTGAAGGTCCCGCCCCGCCCTGGCCGGGAGGGGACCACCGCCCCCCCACGCCCGCACTTGAGGGCGGACGGCGCGTCCCCGCGGGAGAAGGCCCCAGTCGCCATCCGAGGGACCCCCCGTCCCCTCCCCCTCCCCCACCGGGGGGATCTCCGGATACCCAACCCCTCCCCCACCGGGGGGCCCTTCCCAAGAGAGCCGCGTCCCCGGCCCTTCCCCCGGCGGAGGGGCGCGGGTCCCCCCGGCTGGCGCCGCACGCGCCTCACCTGCCGCGGGCCCCAGTCGCGGACGCGGCACCGCAGCTGGCAGCTCTGCGCGTCCCCGAGCTGCGGGGCAAAGGGGTCCCGGGCGGGCGGCGCGGGGGCGGCGGGCGACCCGCAAGCAGCAAGCAGCACAGCAGCGGCGGCCGGGGGGCGGCGGCAATCGGCCGCCACCGCAGCCATGGCCCGGCGAGCGCGGGGGCCGGGGACTCGGGCTCCCGTGCGGGCGGGCGCGGAGGATGCGCGGCGAAGGCCGGGACCGGGCGCTGACCGTCACCGAGTGAGGCAGCCTGGAAGGGGGGGCGGGGATGGGGAGCGGGCCGGGGCGCCGGGCTGCGGCACCGTCGCGTGGGGCCGGCGGGGGCAGGTGGATGGGGTCCACCGTCGGTCCATCTGGGAGGGGGGGTGCCATGAGGTCTCCTGGCAACCGCGGCGGGGCATCTCCGTCAGCGCTAGGGGTCACAGGAACCGAATAGGGTGATCGGGCCTGACGAGTGGTCCGGTCGCCCACGGGTGGCACGGCCGGCTTCGCGGAGGAGGCCGCACCTGAGGCCGGCCGCGAGGGGAGGGCGGGGGAACACAGGGCCCAGGGGCGAGCAAGAGCTCGCTGTAGGAGAAGGCGGGAGGGCGGCGGGCGCAGAGAGGTTAGGGCGGCAGGACTGGCAGGCTTCCCGGCGCCCCAGCTCGGAGGGAGAGGAACTTGTGCAACAGATCGCCTCCTCCCAGGAAGCCCTCTGGACCCCTCCACCTGCGCCTCCAGCCTCCTCTCCCTCCGTCCCAGTCCGGATCCAAGGAACTGGATCTGGCCCTGGCCCCCCAGGTTGGGGGGTCCCTCCCCGCCCAGAGCTTGGCGGAGGAGACCGCAGAGATTCGGTACAGGGAAGGGGGCAGGGCGCCTGCCCGAAGTTCTAATTCTCGTGGGAAAATACTTTGGAGACTCCAGGACACGTCTGGGTTCCATAACTGGCCCACACCCCAGGGTGGGACGACTGTAGGACCGACGAGCCAAATCTCGGTTAGGAGGGGGTCCCCCAGCTTCTGCCCCATCGGGAAAACCGGAATGGGGGCGGCCTCAAAACCCGGGTCCCGTCCCGCTGGCGCGCCTGGCGCAAGGTGGCTACCGAGTCGCCGCCCGCGCGTCCCCTCCTGCCGCTCCGCCCCCACGCAGACGGGGGCTGCCCTCGCCCGGCCCTGGCGGGCGAGGGAGCGCAGGTTCCGGCCCGGGAGGGGGGGGCCTGGCGCACCCCCTCCCCACGGCCGGCCGCCGCGCTTTCATCTCCGCGGCTCGGGGCCGGCCCACGTGGCTTAATCAGGCGCGGCTGTGCCCGCGGACCCCGAAACATCTGGATCCCGGCGCGGCCCCGTCCCCCGCCGCCCGCCCGCCCCTCCCGGGCTAGGCCGGCGCGACCCGCCCGCGAGGGCCTCCCGCCCCGCCCCGTTGCGGTGGGAAGCGAGCCGGGAGCCCTGCCGCCTAAGCCACACGCGCGGCCCGGCCCCCATGGGGAGGGGGAGGAAACAACCCCTGTGTAATGGGATGCCATCAAAACTGTCCCCGCGTGTCACAGGTGGGGAAACCCATGGCTCCGGACTCGTCGCTGAGACAGGGATTCAAGCCCGCACATGATTAATTTCCAGAGGTCCCGCGCGCATAGCCCCTCCCTCGAATGAACGCCTTCATTCATTCCAAACCAAAACAACTTCTTGCAGAAACTACTTTCTTTGCGACAACCTTACAGGAAAGGTACGGGTCACAGTTTCCTATTTCCCCGGATGTGGAAATCTAGGCGCGGAGCGAAGGAGACTAGCCCAGGTGAGGGAGAGAGAGAGGAGAGAGCAGAGAGACAGAGACAAGAGAGAAGAGAGAGACAGAGACAAGCAGAGAAGCTGGCAGCAGCCAACCCGGAGGGGGGTGCCTTCGGGCGTAAGAGGCGTCCCTTAAGTGCAACAGAAAGAGGGACACCTCGCGCCCTTTTGCAGATGGGGAAACTGAAGGCTGGAGGGGTGGGGGGGGCCAGGTCCGCCCCCAGGGAGAAGGGGGAGAGTTTTGATTGGCAGCCACCCCACCCCCCTTTCCGCTCCACGAGGCCCTGCTGGGGGGAGCGGAAGAGGACTATGACCCTAGCCCCCAGGTGAGCCCCCACGCCGCCTGGCGTTCCCCGAGGAGCGGTCAGGTGAGGGCGGGCGGCCGGCCGGGCGGCCCAGGGGTCGGTTTCAGGAAATCCGCCCGACAATTCCTTTCGGGGCTTAAGAGGGAAAGTTGATCGGCGCCCGCCCCTCCCGCCCCCCACTTCCTACCCCCGGGGCGGCTGGCCTTGGGCGGCGGGCGGGGGCGCTGCGGCCCCGCTCCGGGCGTGAATCAGCCAGGGCAGGCGTCGGAAGCCCGCGGCCGAGGTCAACGGCCGGCACGGACAAGCGCCCTTTGTCCTATTGCCGCCCTCACCGCGGACCCCGTTGACCCACCCCCAAGCGGGGAGGAAGGGAAGGCACCGCGAGCGCTGCAACGTTTGCTGACAGTTGGGGCGGAAGGAAGGAGGGGAGCGGTTGTCCCCCCATCCCTCCTCCCGGGCTGGCCTCCTGGGACCTCCAAGAACTTCCCAGGTCCCCTAAGGTGCAGAGGGGCACGCCAAGCCAGGCCTCCCTGCCGGAGTGCACACCCGCCCAGGCCAGCCAGGCCCGCCCGCCCCCTCCCCTGTCCCTGCTCCGGAGCCTGAAGTCCAGGTGGTGTTAAACTGGGGACCCAGGCACGCCCGATTTGTCAGGCTCAGCCTCCAGGGTGGAGATTACAAAGCCTAGGCAAAACAGGCCACCTTCAACTGTGACACCAGGCCCCGAAGAACCAGGCATAGCAGACCCTTGCTGCCTTGTGGTTGCTGTGAGTGCCACAGGGGACCCTGGAGATGCTGTTTGCATTGTCCCCTCCCTGTGCCCTGGAATCACCAGGGGCTGGAGTAGAGGCCCCCCCAACCCCTGACTCCGCCCCAGAGGATGAGCTTTTGGTGAGGGGTGCAGGGCTAAGCAGGAAGCCCCTCCCCTGGCCATGGGGGAGGCGCCATCCACGTCCTCAGACATTCCCAGCCACCTTCAAGGACTTTTGGGTCAGATATTTGCGGAAGTTCGGCAATGGGTTACCCTTCTGTTGCAAAGAGGTGGGGGACTGGGGGAGGAAGGGTTAAGCTGTGGCTGGCACCCAGGGCAAGGAAAGGACATACCTCAGGGTCAACTGGCTTTTCCCTAAAGCCAAAGGTATGGGGCAAAAGGTCACCCAGAGGGCAGAGGTCACGCTCCAGCATGGGGCCGGGCAAGGTTGGGAACAGTCATACCCCTGTCTAATGGTAAGGACCAGAAAGGGATGTTACTGGCTTTGGGTCACACAGCAATGAGCGGGGGGATGGGGAGGCTCCGGACCCACAGGCAGCCATGACTTAGTGGACTGAATTTTCTTGCCACTTGGGACCTGAGAAATCACCTGCGTCAATTCTGTTTTTTGCCAATATTTATTGAACTTTTCAGCCTCGCTGGGCTGGGCCCAGTATGGGGTCCACAGAGAGAGAGAGAGAGAGAGCACTTTTGGGGTGGCTGGCAGTCTAAGAAAAGAGTTTGCGGGAGGAAACAAAGGCTATTAGACGCTGTTGGTGCCAAAGAAACACGCACAACAACGAAGCTGATGGGGGACGGGAAGAGAGCCTGGGAAGGGTGGGAGGTCTCTGAGGAGGTGACATGGGACCTGGGACCTGGTGGCAGAGGGGGGGCTGACTGGGGAGATTTTGGGGAACAGCATTGCAACAGAGGGAACGGCCCAACGCACAGGGCCTGTCTTTCCATAGTAACAAGCCTGGCGTTTGGGGGGACGGGAACTGCAGTGTGGGGAGCTGAGTGAGGGAGGGCAGGAGAGGGGAGAGGAGGAGGAGAAGGTCAGGGAGGGGGGTGTCCAGGGCCCAGACAAAACTCATTGCTTCTCTTAAAAGCTCCCCAAGGCAGGCATGAGGACTCCCCGGCCTGTCATACTAGCATCTGGCCTGTCATCCTTAGCACTCTGGGAGGAACGAGGCGGGAGGATGCGCTCAAGCGTCAGGAGTTGGAGATAACCCAGCCTGAGCAATGAGGGTGAGACCCCTCTCTACTATGAAAGTAGAAAGAAATTAATTGGCCAACTGAAAAAATATATAAGAAAAAAATTAGCCGGGCGCGGTGGCGATGGCCTGTAGTCCAGCTAACTTGGGAGGCTGAGGCAGGAGGATTGCTTGAGCCACAGGAGTCGAGGTTGATGTGAGGAGGCTGACCACGGCACCTCACTTAGCCCTGGGGCAACTAAGCAAGATTTTGTCTCCAAAAAAAAAAAAACCAAAAACAGCTCCCCCAGCCTGGCGTGCAGAATCAAGGTAGGAAGGGTTATGGGAAGCCCCAGAGGAAGGAGAGGAGGAGGCCAGGAGGCATCCCCCCAGGGCGAACCTGAGCCTGGATGCAAAAGGAATGGGGAGAGAGGGGTCCCAGTCTCAGGATGGGGATGTGTTTTGGAAATCAGGAGCCAACAAGGACTTGCTGATGGATTGATGAGTGATGGCCGGAGCCAAGCAGAGAGTCCTCACCGTGGGCTTCCAGGTCTCCGGCCTGAGCACCTGGTGAGGGGAGGCCCTTCCCGAGGCGAAATAACTGGGGGAGAGGAGTGGAGATGGGGGAATGTCTTGATTCTGCTCCCCACAGGCCCGAGTGCTCCCAGGAGGGGACCAGAACGTGTCCAGCCCCACAGGGAACATCTGCAGCGGCAGGGGGCTGTGGGGGAAGGGGCGGAAGCATCCTGGAATCCAGCTCAGCCAAGAGCTGCCACCTCCCAACTTAACCAGCCCCAGGGCAAACAAGGTGGGGGACGAATGGCTCCATTTGTCCGCCGGGGACGCGCAGGCCCTGCGGCCACCTCCGTCGCTCGGGGAGGGACGTGAGGGCCCGCGCTGGCGCTGAGATCTGGCGACTTCTGCGGCTGGCCTGGCGTCCTTCTCCCCGAAGCCTTTCCGCCCGCGGTGCCCCGCGTGCAAGGGGGAGAAACTGAGGCACAGGCCGGCCTGGTTTGCCCAGTAAACGACAGTTTCCCCCACCCCTCCTCCTTGGCCTGTGGCCCTAACCTCCCTACCTACGTCCGGGGGTTCCAGATGGAGGGAGCGGGGGCGGCGCCCCTGAGCTCCCCCCCCACCCCGGCCAACAT